CCTCAGCATTCATTAATTCAGATTTTGCAGCAATATAACCACCATGGATATAATAAAAAGTAATTCTGTTTCTTTAATTTGTACATGAAGTAGATTAATTATCCATTTTCCATAACCTATTTTGAGTGAACAAATAAATTACCAGTAGTGATTTCATCACAAAAATCCATATATATACCAAAAGTAGTAGCTGAAAATACAAAAATTTTACTTTTCAATGTGAAATCTTTGGCATATTTCAGTGATTTCAATATGCAGCTCACATTTTGATCAAGTAGTTACCACAAGTGAATACTATATCATTTATAATACTATTTTTCAATGTTAAAAAGTCTTTATACCAGATGTTATTCAGATTTTAAGTCAAATCTAAAAGTCTAATACCTTGAAATCGGGTTTTCAACAATTTGAAATCATACAAGAGCCCAGCATGTAACTATTATATTTTAAATCTCTTTTAGAGCCGGATGTTGACAGGTAACGCAAATACCTGTTTTGTGACACTACTATTGGCATTATTTTCAGTTTTAATTTTTTTTTTTGTGGAAGATGAGTGGGTTTTAGGGGACATTGATCATTTTTATCAAGGAATTGTATTTACAAAAAGAAAAAAATTAGCCAAAATATGAGGTAACATAGGAGATGAAGAATTATGTGTACAAGTCCTACAAAGCTATACAAGTATCAACATGAGCAAATTAATTTATTCATGAAGCGGAACATCAGGAAGTCCATGTATTTCACTGAGTAATGAAAGTGTTCATCATTCTCACCTCATGATAATGATTTTGTTACAACAAAGCAGTATCTACATGAAATGATTATCATGCAATGAACTTTATATGTATTATCTCATTTAATATAGCAACTTTTTAGCTATATTATTGAAGTGTTATTTTGGTCATTATTATTTTTTCACCTTACATATGAAAAAACTAAAGCTTAGAGTAAATAACCAAGTATCTTTCCCAAGGTCTGTAAGTAATGACTAAATGGATTCAGTATTCAAACTAACATCAGTCTGATTTCAAAGTCCATACACTATGCTTCATCCATGAGTTGCTTCACAACTTATACAGTAGATGTTGTGTCTTTTTCAAAATTTTTTTCACTTTTCTGAGTTACCTTATTCTATGTCCCTATTACCCTGAGAAGGACTGGGAGTGGGGATGGAACACTATAAATATGCTAAACTTATTAATCTTTTTTGAAGTGGATTTATCATACTGTGTTCACCCAGTATCAAAAAAAAAAAAAAAGAACTACTTAAAGGGAAAAAGATGTCCCAAAGACTCAATTTTTAGTATTGTTGAGCAGTGAATAGTAGAAAACAAGGAATAATTTTGGCGTTTTATTTGTCTGAACCATGTATATGTGAGCCTCAACCGTCCACCCTCCACATAATTTTTTTTTAAGAACAGCTGCTGGCTTTGTCTCTTTCTACCTGCTAGATGCTTTCCTGAATCCGGTGCTCAATTTAAGCAATCCTCATTAAAGTCCAGAGCCTAGGGAAATCACCCTGATTTTTGTTCCCTAGCAACAGCTCTAAGAGTAACAACATCTGTTTAACCATATGCCACTAGAAAGATGCTGTAAGGGAAGTACACAGAAATTGTTATTAAATGCCTTAAATCTTAAGACTTCAGACAAGGTAGTTACCATGTTTGATTACTTAGTGATGCAAAAGCCAAACAGAGGAATAAATTTATTTAAAAGGATAACAGATACTAGCATGTTGAGGTTAGCAACTAATGTGATTTGTAGACATTTTCTTGCAACAATAAAATGTTGCACTTGCATCAAAAAATAAGTATACTTATTTTTTATGTGGTACTGCATTTTTAAACATTAACTAAATGTAAAACTCCTTACAAATTTTTGACATTCTGTGTTTTTTTTCTGTTAATAATTTTTACTCTCTCCATAGTATTGCCTTTTCTAGAATAGTATATAAGTGGAATAGTATATACTTGGAATCATATTTTCAGATTGTCTTCTTTCAGTTAGTAATATATATTTAAGTTTCCTCCATGACTTCTGTGACTCAATAACTCATTATTTAGTGCTAAGTAATATTCCATTGTATGGATATCCTTTGAAGCACATCATAGTTGCTTATAAACTTTGGAAATTATGAATAAAGCTGCTGTAAACGTTAATGTGCGTGTTTTTATGTGACTATAAGTTTCCAATTTTTTTCTTAAATTAAAAACCAAGAATTGAGAAGACTGAATCATATTGTAAAAGTATGTTTTAATTTTGTAAAAAACAGCCAAACCACCTTCCTAAAGGATATGTCATTTTGCATTCATATGTCGTCACCAGGATTTGGTATAGTCATTCTGTAGTACTATCTAATAGGTTTATAGTAATATCCCATTGTATTATTTTGCAATTTCCTGGTGACCTATGTTGATTATCTTTTTATATGCTTATTTGCCACGTGTATATCTTTAGTGAGGTGTCTATTGAGATCTTTTTTCCTCTAAATAGGGAAAAGGATAAACAGAATTTGCCAAATGCCTAAGGTATGGGGATATTAGACTCCCTACTGAGATGTCATTTTTAAGTGGGTTGTTCATTTTCTTATTGTTGAGTTCAAGAGTTCTCTGTATAAAAATGTTTGGATACCAGTCCTTTATTGTGTATTTGTTTTGCAAATATTTTTTCCCGGTTTGTGGTTTGCCTTTTCATTTTCTTAATATTCTATAATTTTTAAGATTTAATTTTTCTAGCTTAACTACTTGTTTATAAACTGATACCATTATTGTGGTGTGTGTGGTAGGGAGGGAAAGGTTTTCTTTTGTACAAAAGCTTTCTTTTTAAAATCATTAATGTGTTCTTTCTCTCTGTAACCTTCACCACCAACACTCACTCACAACACACTCACAACACACTCACTCACACAACCCTCACAACACACTCACAACACTCACAACACACTCACAACACACTCACACACACAACACACTCACAACACTCAACACACTCACAACACTCAACACACTCACAACACTCACAACACACTCAGAACACTCACAACACACTCACAACACACAACACTCACAACACACTCACTCACACACACAACACACAACACACTCACAACACTCACAACACACTCACTCACACACACAACACACTCACAACACACTCAACACACTCACAACACACAACACACTCACAACACTCACAACACACTCAACACACTCACAACACACAACACACTCACAATACACTCACAGCACTCATAACACACTCACAACACTCAACACACTCACAATACACTCACAGCACTCATAACACACTCACAACACTCAACACACTCACAACACACAGCACTCACAACACACTCAACACACTCAACACTCACAACACACAACACTCACAACACACTCACAACACTCACAACACACAACACACTCACAACACACTCTCTGTGAGAGTGTGAAATATGGCAATACTTATACTGGGTCTCTAGGTTGCTAATCAACACACAACACACTCACAACACTCACAACACACTCACAACACTCACAACACACTCACAACACTCACAACACATGCCACCTTTGAGAGCTTAAGGTGATAAGAGTGGTGAGTTAAAAAATTACCCTGCATCGTTCCGTTTCTTTTTTATCAATAAGTGACCTAATATAGTAGTCATTCTCCTGACAGTAGCCAAAATTTAGTAATTATACATGTGGATTATTTCTTTTTTTAATATAGAAAAAATAATGTCTTTGGCATCCTTTGAAGTTGTATTCAATGTTCAAGTTATTCCTAGGAATTTTCAAAGTTTCTGGTCACCAGTTTGGGGTCTTTTGGGGGAAGTCTTTCTGGGTTTTTTTCTTTTATTTTCCTTTTTTCTCTTTTTTGCTTTGTTTTGCTTAAACAAAACCACTCATTTAAGTCTAGGTCATACTATTCAATTTGGCTTTTTTCGTGATTTTTATGTGAAAATCAGTGTTTTTTCCAAGGTTTTTTGAAACACAAACTAATTAGTAATTAACTTGAGTTAATTCAAACAATAATATTTTATTTGAAAAAGAGATCATGAAAGTAATTATTTGTATTAGTTAAAAATTCTTCCTGATTTAGTTTTCCTCAATGAATTTATTCACTGGGGAAAAACTACTTATTTTAAAGGCAATACCAAGAAAGAAGTGTAAGCTAGTCATTTATAAATATTTGTATACAGGGAGGTCTAATACATGTACTAGATGGAAAGTGGAGCACATGGAGGTGGAGGCAACTAGAACAGACCTTCTTGTGCCTTTCCCCAGTACCTCAGAGGAATCCATACAGGATTATATGGAAAAAAATTTGAAAAGTAATCCAAATTATGATTTTTAATTTAAAGTAACCAAAAAAACCCAGATAGTTATTACTGAGCTATTTATTCTGGAGTTCTAGGTGTCTAATTTATAAGGTTTTTGAATTAGACTTCAGGGCCTATGTTACATTTTATTACAGTCTACAACATAAGTGTAGACTGGCAGGAATTAAACTAAAAGCCTGTTTCACAGCTGTTATGCATCTGGGAGTTTGGTTAAAAGGAGCTAGCTTAGCTTAGCCTAAATTGTGATAAAAAGCAGTGTCTGGAGACTTTTTAACTAAAGTCCTGTGCTCTGATCAGAGCTGTATTTAATACTGGCCCATAAGTCCACATAATTATAATTTGTAAGAGTCTTTAGGATATCAGTAACTTTTAAATCTTACCACATGAAAAATGATTATATCACCTGTAGACTTTAAAAGTATTTAGCAAGCTAGGATAAAGGTGATGATAAAACAAATATTTCTTAAACTTTCTCTATTCCAAGTTTTGCACTTAAGATGTTCCAACTATTCTTGATAATATACTACTGGTTTTACGAGGCTTTCATGTGGAATTTTAATTCTGATAGATGAATGCTTCATGTCAGATTTGTTATACCAGAGGGAAAAATGGTTTACATTTTTAATGTCACCTTTATTACATTCTGGCTTTCTCCCAGGCTTGCAGATGGGTCAAGGGCTGTGGAGAGTGGCCAGAAACCAGCAGCTACAACAGGAAGGCTATAGTGAGCAAGGCTACCTACCCAGAGAGCAGAGCAGGAGAATGGCTGCAGGCAGCATTTCTAATACCAATCACCGTAAACAAGTCCAAGGAGGCATTGACATTTATCATCTTTTGAAAGCAAGGAAATGTAAAGAACAGGAAGGATTCATTAATCTGGAAATGCTGCCTCCTGAGCTAAGCTTTACCATCTTGTCCTACCTGAATGCAACTGACCTCTGCTTGGCTTCGTGTGTTTGGCGGGACCTTGCTAATGATGAGCTTCTCTGGCAAGGGTAAGTTAAGCCCATCGATTGTGACTCAGATCTCTCTAAACACAGTTGTGCCTAATCTTCTCATTTAAAAAAATTTATAAGGCTATGTTAGTTGTTGGTGTATGTCAGGGAGTTTCACTGTGACATTTCCATATGTACTTACAATGTACCTTGCTTAGGTTCATCCTCATCATCATTCTCCCTAACATGTATATATTATGAAATAATTTCTTGTAAATTTGACTTGGATTTTGAGTTGCTGTTTATTAAATTCTAGAAAAAATAAAGGTACAGTTATCATAAGTCAATTTTAATATTAGAAAAAGTAGAAAAGAAAATAGGAATTGACTTTATAGCAAAAAGGTCACTTTATAGTGATCAGTTGAGACGTATCAGTTTATTCTGAGTCAAAAATTGCCAGATCATTGTAAAAATTAAACAAAGTTCTGAAGTGAGAATTTATATTCTAAAACTTGGAGTTGTCACATCTCTGGTTAATTTGTGCTTCCCATAAGTAGAAAAGACATACCTAAAAAAATTAAATAATTCTCAAATGTTACTGTTTTCAAAGAGAGTATATAGATGTGTTTTTGTGTACATATTTTTATTTATCAAAATTTATGCTTGCTAGCTGGTAAAAATTTCATTTACTTTTTGTTTTCACTAACAACCATTTCACCAATGAAGTAGGCAATATTAATAGGCAAGGTGATAAAACAGTCTACTTGCTGAACTGAAAGAGAGGATAGAAATTGTAGCAGCTCTTATACCAGTTTACATTCAGCTTACAAATCTAAGAACGTTTTGTGGGATAGAACCTGTCTTATTGAACCTTAGTTACTCTTTAAATAGCATTATATACTTATAAACAATCATACGTGCATGTTTTCGTTTTCTTCTTTTGAGTCCTGAAAATGTTACCAAACAGAAGAATCATTAAATTCTGGATTTTCTAATATTCTTTATCAAAGATTATTTAAGTCTCATTACTTAAAAATGTAACTTCATAATGATAAAGAATAATCTAGAAACAAGTCTTTTTATAAGACTTTAAATAATTTCTAGATGGAAATCCAACACAGAATTAATAAGTTAATCTAAATTGCTAGGCTTTAATAAAAAAAACGTATTTCCAGTAGTTACATTTCTACCTTAGGCTTCCTAATGTCTCAGAATTATAATATAAAAATTACATATTTCTCAATAATATTATTACTTTTTTAAATATTTTATTATTTTAAAAATAAAATCATTAGCATCATCTTATTATTCTTTCACTGCCCTGTCAGAGTGAAGGTACTGTGTAAGAGGAAATTCTATTGCTTGTGTTTAAATATTACTAATTTTTAATCATTATATGAGTTTGAGGAAATTGAATACTTTGAAACTGGCTTATTTACATTTTTTCTACATTTTAGTATTCTTCACAAACTTAACTTGTGTTCCTATATTGAAATTTTAAAAATTCATTTTTAACCTTATATGAGCTCAATCAGAATGTATTTTTTATTTAGGCTTTAAATCTAGATTGTTTATCACTGAAAGAAATGCTTTCTTTTGCCAGGAGTGGTGATACACACACTGAGGCAAGAATATAGTGAATTCAAGGCCGACTTAAGACCCTGTCTCAAAAATATAAGTAACAGCATTTGCAGAGATGTATAAGAAATGCTTCCTTTATTGTTTGCTATCATTCCTGTATTTATGATGCTTGGGTTTTCTTTTTGTTTATTTTCAAGGTTGCCTCACACTCTCAATCCTTCTGCCTCAGTCTGCCTAGCCTGGATTTCTTTTTCTTTAATGATAAATTGTGTCTGTTTGGAACTAAAGGCTGGCTGAGTTTGTATTTTAACTTTGAATGTGTTGAATACTTAAAATGTTGGGAGATTATGTTGCTTTCGCATAATAAAACTGAGAGTAATAAAACTCTCAGGCTATGTTAATAAAGACTGCTAAAATCTAGTTTTCTAAACAAGTTTATGCTTATAGTTTTAGGCTCAGTGATTGTGTTTGGTTGGTAAAAATAATGAAAGGGTATAAATTAACTATGAAGAGGATAGTCTCATATGAAAGTAGATATTTTATCTTTTTATCCTCATAATTTTTGGTACTATAGACTGAGGCAATAACCTGATTTTTCTCTGTGTGTGTGTGTGTGTATATGTGTGTGTGTGTGTGTGTGTGTGTGTGTGTGTGTGTGTGTGTGTGTATGTAGGAGGAAACTTGAGGCAAAAATCAATAATGAATATTAGAGGATGAGACTATTTTTTCTCAATAAGTAACAGGTAAAGTTTGGAACACACAGTTCACATGATTTTGAAGCTAAGACTCAAAAGTGTACAAAAATACAGGTTCAATATTTTCTGTTTCTTCAGAGTAATGCCCTTATGCTTAAAATTCTATGGTATTTATCTAGAACTTCCAGGAATTTATTTTATTACAAATATAAGTGAGGTGTAAAAAATAAATAAAACTTTAGCTTTCAAATAATAACCAGTAACTGTTACCTCTGTGAAACCACTATCCTATCCTAAAGGAAATAGTGTACTTGGAGATATGAATAGTTAATATTTCAGATTTTATGAAATTTTTAAACAATCTTGAATGATTGTGATAGTAAAGAACCAGTCACAGGCTGGGAGGTAGCTCAGTGGAAAAGCACTTGCCTAGCATGTAAGGCCCTGGGTTCTATTCCCCAGCACCGCAAAACAAGAAAAAAAAAAAAAGAAGAGCCAGTCATTTGTTTTGATTGGTTGGTTCTTGGTGAGTTTTTGCTTGTTTGTTTTGCAATACTGGGGACGGAACCCAGGGCTTTGTGCTTGCCAAGCAAGCATTCTACCACTGAGCTATATCTCCAGCCCAAGATTTGAAGCAGAATCTTAAACATGCTTAACATCACAGCTTTTGATGTATGTAATGAAGTTGAGGCACGCTTTCTCTTTTTAATTTGTTGTTAATATATGTACCATTTTAAAAAGCAAGAGATAGTACTCCTGCCAACAATCTTGCTCCTCCATTTAGTTTTATTCCTCAATAATAGAATAGAGCATAGGTTATTTAATAGATCCCATTTATCTTCTTTTGGGGGCTTGGGCAGTGCTGGGTTTTGAACTCAGGGCCTCACACTTACTACACAGACACTGTATACTTGAGATACTCCACTAGCCCCCATTTAGGTTCTTCTTTTTTTTTTTCCTCATTTAGCTTCTTGATTAAGACTGCAAACTCTAGAGTAAGATTCATTGGATTCAAATTCAAAGTTGTGTGACTTTGGCAACTTTTTGTCTCTGTGTTTCTTCTTATATGTTGCATCAATATCAGAAGATTGTTGAGGATTGAGCAAGTTGATAAAATTAAAATATTTAAAATAGGCTGGGCACTGGTGGCTCATGCCTATAGTGGAAGGCACAGATCAGTAGGAATACAGTTTGAGGTCAGCCCAGGAAAATAGTTTGCAAAACTCTATATTGAAAATTGCCAACACAAAAAATGGGCTGGTAGAGTGGCTCAAGTGGCAGAGTGACTGCCTAGCAAGCAGTGAGGCCCTGAGTTCAAACCCCAGTACTGCCAAAAAATAAAATCTTACTATAGTGCCTGACATCTAGTAATCACTTAGTAACTGTCAGCTTATATTTCTATTATTATTGATAGCTTATGTTTAATTTTAGTTAGCATTCATGAGCATTATTAATCTTTATAACCCAGACTTTTAGGTGCTATCAAAATTGCTAAAGTTGAGGTATCTGTCATAGTCTAGTAAGCAAAATGTACATCTGTAAAACATAATTTTATGTCATTTAATGTTACTGTTCTATCATGTATATGCATGCTTAGCTTAAGTTAAATACAGTAACTTTTTGTCTCATTTTCTCTTATTTTTACAGTTTATGCAAATCCACTTGGGGTCACTGTTCCATATACAATAGGAACCCACCTCTAGGATTTTCTTTTAGAAAATTGTATATGCAGCTGGATGAAGGCAGCCTCACCTTTAATGCCAACCCAGATGAGGTAGGTAAAGAATGTGAATATTTATATAAGTTGAACTTTATTGCTATTTTGCTGCAGTATTCTAATTTAATAAATTTGCCTATAAAATAACAAGTCATTGAACACACCTTTTCAGTCATTGAGAACCCAGTATTTTAAGTTATTTTTCTATGACATAGTCATTTTTCTTTTTCTTTTCATGTCACATTCTTACCTATCTATCTGCTCACTTTAGATAGAAGTCCTCTACTGGTCTGACTAAGGAATACATTAGTGGAGAACAAATTTTGTTCATCAAATTTTTTCAGCAGCATTTTCTTTTTGTTTATTGTTTCTGTTTAATACTGATGTAATTTTAAAGAGGTAATCACAGAGAACACCATTCTAATTTCCAACATTTAATTGTTAAATGATGCCTGTAAGAATATAATTCTGTGTTGGCATAAAAACACTTACTATGTGAGAATAACCAAAATATGATCTTTTGATATTTTCCTATTGCCATTTTAAGTATCCTGGAAATGTTCAGAACTTCAGAAATGTTTAAATGACTTGTAGACTTACTCCTGAAGCCAAAGTGGAAATTTTATGACACTCAGAAGTATTATTTCTGGGTACATTATTTTCTGTGTAAAAATTTAACTTGCAGAATTATTTAAATTTATTTAAATTTTAAAAACCAAGTTTTTCATCTTACAAAAAGTATCAGGGATTATTTAAATCATTCAGCCTAATATTGTGTAAAATTATCTTAACTTTTGGCTAATTAGGGAAATGTTTCTCCAATGTAAATCTTGAATAGAAATGCTGATTTTATAAATGTGCATAATAATACCAGTGACAACAAAATTTTAAATAGTTTTTCATTTTAATACATGTGGTTTCTTTGTTAAATTTTTCTTGTGCATATATAAAAAGTCAACTGAAATGCCCTTGTAAAGTTTTACTTTTCTACATATATGTTACCATTTGAGTCTTAATCCTTACAAATATAACAAAGTATATATATTTTGCCTTTCTTTTTTTTTGTTTTTTTGGTACTGGGGTTTGAACTAAGAGCCTTTGCACTTGCTAGGCAAGTGCTGTATCCTGGAGCAACTCTCCTGTTCCCAAAGTATATATTTTAAGGCCTGATATAATACTGAAATTTAGATATTTGTTATCTTTCCTCTCACTGCTGTTTAAAGAAATGAGTAGATAACTGATACTCTTTATGAAAGTAAATGATTTACTAAAACTTAAAGTTCAAATTATGCATTCGAAATTAATATAATATAATAGCACTTTTTAGACCCCAGTGATCATTCCTTAAAAAGGCAAAAGTGACTAACTTATCTATTATAAAATTAGGTTACTTATTATTACTAAGTATGATCAGTTACTTATGATTATATTAGTATTATTTACCTATCCCTTCGTTGAATTTTTTCTGATAGATTTTCTTATGACGTGCACTTGTTTTTACTCCAATTTTGGTCAAATCCCAGTTATCTTTCTTGTACTCAAATCACAACATAAGCATGTTACTTTTTATCTTGCACTGTGGCAAATGTGCTGCAATTACTGCTGAGATTGTCCTATAATTACATATTCAGAGAATGGCATGGTTTCAGAAACTTTGTTGTTTTTAATTCTTTTTGTTAGAATTAGATGCTACTTATTGCTAATTAAAGAATTCATATGATGAGCTTTACAAACAGATAGATGTTTTACATCAGTCTATTGTGACAGTTGAATGGTGACTACTGTAGAAAACTGAGACAAAATAGTGAAATGCTTTCTAGAATATGGAACAATCAGGAGAGGCAGCTGTTATATGCCCCAGTCTTACTGTGCCCCACTTATCAAGTCATACTAACTATCATCTTTAACTCATATGACTTGCAAATGTTTCACTGAAAGACAAATGTAACTTGGTAAGTACTAAGTCATAGATTTACAAAGTCAGAAAAGTGAATGTAATCGCTGATATTGATTATGGTAAGTAGTCATACCTTGCTAAAATAATAACAATTTTTAAAAAAAATAATAAAGCCATCCTTTTTATGCAAAGGTGAAAAAATATGTAGGCTTCCATATGCTAGATTATAGGATAGTTTAAAAATACCTAAATTGGAAAAGCTAGATGTAAAAATAACTTTCATTTTTGCAGGTATATGTATCAGATTATGGAGTTCTTGTTAGTACCCTTTTAGAACATTTGGAGGGAGACAAAGAACAGAGGCAAAATTCTAGTCCTTTTTTAATCTGACAGGACTTTTAAATTTTTTAATTCACATGTTTGCTAAGAGAGGAAATTGAAATTATTAATTGATATTTTAGATCATCAGATTTTAATTATCCATCCTTCCTTCCATTGTTATTGAGAGTTGGCTATAGCTTCTTTTTCTTCACTGCCTGGCCTAATTTTAAAATATCCTGGAATACTCTTGAAGCATTGAATTCACCTTTCTGAGAGGGCCAAATAGTACTGCTAAGAGATATACAGCTGAACCACTCAAAGTGTCTTGTGGTTCCAGAATTCTCATTCCGTGCATTTATGAATATCAGTAATTTAGCAGATGTTGTCTTACAGCAAATAAAATTCTATTTTTACCACAAAGCAGTTAGAATATAAATAGGCACAAAAAAAAACCCCACATCAAAATACACAATATATCCAAGGAAATGAGGGGAAGCATTTTAATGGCTATATTCTATACTTTTATTACTAAAGTAAATAATTAATGTCAATTTGACTAATTGTTTCCAAGTCAAGTCTTCAAAAATAAATTATGTAAATGAAAGAGTTATCCAAAAAAGATGCTCTTATAATGGAACTTACCTATATGAGTCAGATGTTTGGCAGGTCATTAGAATGACTATTGCCAAGGTTTTTGAGTGCTAGACATCAAAGAGATTGAGTTTTCCCCCCACTCACTAGAGCACTGTCATCAGACATGTTATTTTGGGTTCATTTAACTGGATTCATAAATTACTTTTTGAAGATTTGTTCAAATGTAAGTGGTGTTTATTGCAGGTGCTAAAATAAATGTATATAATTGTTCAGTATTATAAAAAGTTTACTTTTCCATGATTTCTAGTTTTGTACTTAACATTTTCATAGCAAGCATCATTAAAATATTATAAAAATAAGAATACTTACAGCCACAGGGAACAAGATTCTCCAAAGGACACCGTTCATGTCACCGATATGGGTAACCAAACTCCACAGCAACTGCTGGCAGTGGCTCATGGGGTGGGGGAGAACATCCGCACAGTTTGTGGTACGGTTATTTAGCACGCTGTTGTTCTATGCATGACATTGTGCTCTCAGCTGTATGCAGTGTCTTGACCTTGTGCATGAGCTGTGTACTCTGTGGCAAAGGACCAAATTCTAGTAAAGGAATGTGCTGTTACCCATCTGTTTACATTAGCTTGTATTTTCCCTGCATGAACTAGTTGTGTGTGTCAATTTTGTTATGCTAGCAGTGTTATAATGCAGTAATTTTACTTACCAACCAGTAAGTTATATTTCTTGTGTTCCATTATGTATTGTATTAAGATATTTCTTGACAGTTATTTTTAAAGTTAATATTTGAAAATCTGGTAGTTAACAGGGTTAAACTTTAATGTAGTCTAGGCTTATTTTCATTTCTGTAAACATGTTTTCTTTTTAATATCTTCATTGGGGTCAGTAAAAAGTCTTTTTTTAACCATGAAAGCACATTTTTCTTATATTTATACAGAAATACCCACATGCATACAATTGGTACTGGATAGAATGTATCATGAATAATGTTTTAATTCTGACATATATATACACTTTAGATGGAAATCAATATATAATTTAGTTTAAGGTATCATATTTGTTTTGTTGTTGAACTAGCTAAAATACAAAAAGGAAGCTTATGGTAGTTGACTAATATGATTATAGAAAGGACCTTAGGAGTTTATATAGAATTAATACTATATTGACTCTTACTGACTTTTCCCTCCAAAGTGATTATTACCATTACTTCATAGCACAGTAGCAGTAACTAAAAATAACCTAGAAAACCCTGACTGGTATCAGAATATATAGAGATGTATTTCACAAATGTATTCTTTGGGAATACATTGTAAGAAAGAAATTTACAATTCTAATAAATTTTAATCTGATAGGTTTATGATTAGTTGGCTTGTCTGCAACATAACTTTTCAAAAGTTTTAATACATTGGTGCACATTGTGAATATTTAATAGAGATATGTAATATGTAACATTATCCAAGTTTATTTGATATAGTAATATCATTTTTTGGTAAAGGAACATTCCAGGGAACACACACACTTTGAATAGTATAGGTTTTCCATAGTGTTACTCTGTACAAATAAATATGTTAAAATGATTGAAATAGCCTATGGTCCATTTATAACTATCTGATGTAATCTCTTATGGCAGTCATGAGCTATGATTGCTTGTCTTTTAATTGTATGTATAATCTTCTCTATTATGGAAGTGTGTGGGTCTATAATTATTTGTTTCTGTTCTATAGTCTGATAGTACTTATTATCAAAAAATCTGAGAGTTGAGTTGAGTGTTGACAGACTGAAATATTTTTTATATTCTGTATCTTGATTGTTGTCTAATTTGTAAGGTAATTGTTGATTTAGAAAATAAACATGAGGCAATATTGAATTTAAGCAATAGCCTGTATACTGTGATATAAATGTCCATGTCAAGTAATTTGGTACTAATAGACCATTCATCATTAAATCTTTGCTATCTCATTCTGTACACTAACTCTATTAAATCTTAGTATCTTCTGTTTTCTAGTGAAGGCCAACAGGCCACTAAGATGCTTTTTATTTAAGGAAATGCTGTCTTTTGAGATTTTAATTTTATAGGTCTAGAAATAAGACTTTTTTCTTAGCCTCAAGAATTGAATGTAGATTATTCCAAGCTAATCATGTTAATTCCATTCCCCTTGCTGTCTATGGCATCCCTGTAATCCATTTGTGACTCATGCACAGGCCCAGGTGCCATGAGTAACTCTGGGAATTGGGATATGATCACACACTGACAGGACTACCTGCAGCCAGAGGCATTAGCAATACTGGCAACAGCAGATTAGAAAGAAAACATTGGGTCTGAGATGCCATCCATGAGCCCTTACAACCCAGGATCCATTAATAGTTTTGAACTTCTTGTTATATAGTTTAATTTTAAGGTAAATTTACCCCTTTGCTTGATTTTAAATTAAGGTTCCTGTTAGTGGATACCTAAACCATCCTGATGTAATTATTGTCATTAATACTGAGGTTGATATGTAATCCTGA